TCTGTCCAAAAATTCATTTCTTTATCAGTAAAGCAGTTCTCAGTCATTGTTGAGCTGCAGGGGATCTTAGCAGCTTCATTTTACAAAGAGGAAGGTAACTAGCCAGAGCGTGTGCCCCAAATTCCTATAATTTCAGTTGCTGTTGCAAGACGTAATTATATCAGCTAAATGATACCTTCAGTTGTCGGTGTATTTAATTGTTGGTATTTGGGGTTTTTGTCTTTTACACCTGGTTTACACATTGTTGATGATTACTTTTAGATGCTGGCAAGTCAACCATTGGAGGACAAATAATGTAAGTATTTTCTGTTAAATAATAGAGTGAATTTAATGGAATGTTTGGGGCATTGCAAACATTCACACAAAAGAGATAAAACAGGTTACCCAACTTAAGAAAAATTAATAATAAAATGACATTACTTGTAGGGAAAGCTGATGTTAAGTAATTTTTGTTGTTGTTGTTAGTATTTTCTGATGGAATTTAGGTCTTCTCTAAAATCTTCTGTCATCACCACCAGGAACATAAATGGATATATGAAAGCTGTGTTTTAGATTTTTTTATAAAAACTAATACAGAATCCTAGATTATAGGAAATGTCACTCTGCTTTCAGTATAATTTTCTTGGAGTAATGAAAAGTAGTTCTTGAATTAGGTGCATGGAGGAAAGTTTTTTTTCTAATCCATCAACTCCTTAAATTTATAATCAAAGATAGGTGGTTGGCTAACATGCTAAGATTAGAAGATATGGAAACACCATGGTTGACCTTTAGTAATGTATTCTAATACTGAAAAATCTTTTTAATTAAAAGGCTTTTCTTTTTTTTTTAATTGAAGTATAACTGATATACAGTCTTTTAGTTTCAAATATACAACACAGTGGTTCCACAGTTTTGCATATGATTAAATCCTTACCCCCTGTAGTGTGATTACTGTCGATCAATGTAGAAAAATGTTACAGAATCATTGACTATGTTCTCCATGCTGTACTATTCTGACCAAATTATATTGTGATTGTGAATTATTGTGTCCTTTTATCCCCCTCAGCCTCTTTCCCCACTAGCTTGGTAACCACTAGTGACTTCTCAGTGTCTGAGTCTACTGCTGTTTTATTCCTTCTGTTTTGCTTTGTTTTTATATTCCACAAATAAGTGAAATCATACAGTATTTGTCTTTGGCTTGTTTCCCTGAGCATAATACCTTCGAGATCCATCCATGTTGTTGGAAATGGCAGTATTTCTTTTCTTTCTATGGCTGAATAATATTCCATTATGTATATGTACCACATCCTCTTTATCCTATAGATAAATTTATCTATCCTTTATTCTATTTAAATTTATCTATCTTTTATTTTATTGATGGACAGCTAGGTTGCTTCCATACCTTGGTTATTGCAAATAGTGCAGCAATAAACAGGGGTACATATGTCTTTCCAAATCAGGGATTTTGTTTTTTTTGGGGGGGGTAAATTACTGGGTCAAATGGTATTTCTATTTTTAGTTTTTTGAGGAACCTCCATACTGTGTTCCACAGCAATTGCGCCAATTTACATTTCCACCAAAGTGTAGGAGGGTTCTCCTTTCTCCACATCCTCAGCAGCATTTGTTATTTCTTGTCTTCAGATAGTGGCCATCCTGACTGGTGTGAGGTGATACCTCAGTGTGGTTTTAATTTGCACTTCTGCCAGAAATGGCTCCTCGGCAGCACCTGACTGCCAGCGAGGTCACATCTTTCTTGTGCTTATTACCCTGTTTTTTTCCCAGAGGGGAAGGGACCACACCCTGTTGGGCAGGAAAATAGATATGACTGGGATGGAAAGAGAATAAGGCCAGGAAAAAGCCCACTAAAAATGACCCAGAGTGGATCAGTTAAAGCTCAAAAAGCCTGGAGCAACTTGGCCTGGAATGTTTGAATATTCCCCAGAGAAAGGAGAGTACCTCAGCATACACCATGGCTTTATAGTGTTAATCATGCAGGCCCAGTTAATTTTTTTGACTTAACCTACATGCTGTTTTTTTTTTCTCCTTTGGCCCTAATCAAGTAGTTTGCAATCTGGGCGATTAATAATGGCAAGCAAGCCCAGCATAAACAATATAGTCACAGGCAGGAAGGATTTCATCTTACAAATAAGATTGTGTTTTAATACCCAGGAAGTTAAGAAGTAAGATTCTTAACTTACTCTTTAGCAAACAGACAATAACTCAGCCCACCCTGGGGGCCCGGCAAGCAGTCTTGTTTGATATTCTCCCACACCAAGAAGGCTTGGCTCCCCGGGAGAAATCACAGCAGAAAGTTGCTTGTGTTAAGTTAGTTCTAAGTATTATTCAAAGACCACCTAACAGGTCTGCAACCCCAGCCCTTAGTCACATTCCTGAAGAATCCTTAAAAGGGGGAATCCCCAAGCTCTCAGGGTGCTCCTCTCCCTGAGGTCGCCTGCACTTTCTAAGTGCAAAACCTTTTCATTTTAAACTTTCTTTTCAACCTTTCAGGGTGCTGTCTCTCTCTGAAGTTACCTGCACTTTTTCTGTAAGTACTTTAAATAAAACTTTTCCTCTGCTTCACTACTGTGTCTCTGCCTTTTGATTCATTTTTGCAGTGGGGACAAGGACCAAGGAAAATAGACAGTGCTACCCCAACAACCCCACCCCATCTTCAAGGAATATGCAGGTCACCCTGACTAGAGAGACTTGCAGCTTACCAAAGGTTCCAGGTCCAGCAAAGCCCTGGGCAGGTGCTGAGGACACCACAGAGGAGAGGCTGCTGCCCGATGCACCTACCCCAGGGGTGTTCTGACCAAAGGTGGGTGTGGATGTGCCTAGAATGGAGAGACTACAAAGAACTGTGGAAACTAGGCCCACAAGCAAAAGGTGTCAAAGCAGGCGGTAATGAACTGGGGAGAGGTCTGCTTGCAAACGCATCCCCACAGGATTCCTTAGCCCACACCGCTATCCACCAGTGCAGCAGAACCAGAGCTGTCCTTTGGCCACCTGAGGAGAACCTTTGAACTCCCTTGGGCAGCACAACGCAGCTGAGGGGGACACTGAGTTGACCTCTCTTCTCTCAGGACAAACATTATGTCTCCTCCCCGTTTGCCTGCCCCCACTCCTCTACTTCACCGCAGCCCCACCCCACAGTCAGCCCCCATCCTCCCACAGGTCCACTCAAACTCGGTCTCCTGCACATGCTTGCCCTCATGGAGCCTCCTGCCCAGTGCTGGGCTACCCTCCACAGCGGCTCTCTGGGAAGGTCCTCTCACATGTAACTGTACCTGTCTAGGCCTGAGGTGGGGAGGGTGCCCCCCGAGGTGCTGACCTTGCACGGAATCTTCCCCCACACCCAACCTCTGGGGGTCACACCTTATCACAACCAGGAACTGCTCTTGCCCCCAGATCTCGGCTGTGAGCACAGTGCTGTCCCTGCTCCCGTGCCAACCGCACCCACTCTGGATCCTCTGCCTCATCAGGGCCCGTAGTCGGCCCCCTGCCCCTCCTGCTCCCTGTGCCACTTAACCAGGTTGGGTTTACTCTCTATCCACCGATTTTAGGTCCACACCTCAAGACTGAATGTTGCTGGGCAGACACAACTGTGCTGACTGGCCTTGCTTCAAATTCCTACCCACAATTTCCCAGACTTCAGAACTACCTGGCACAGCTCCCACGCGTCATTTTCTCCCCCTTTCCAAAATGACCACTGAGAGAGGCCCTCCTTGGTACACATCTCCCCCTAACCCGTGCCAAGGAGCTCTTATATTCAGTGAGGAAAACGGAAGCTACCAGGGACCAAACTACTTATCATGCATCTTCCACATGGCAAATAAAATCACTTCCTTCTGCCTGCAATTCTATAGTGACTTCCATTAGTACTTTAACAAAAACATTTTAAAAGGCCATGAAAGATCTTCCTTTCTGCTGTCTCTTAATGTCATTTTATCCCACTTTCCTTTTTAAACCTCTGGCCACAGCTGGCTCTTCTCTGCTCATGAAAACATTAGGCTCGTGTCTGCCTTTGGGCCTTTGCTCCTGTGCCTGCAACGTCCTCACCCCCAGCCGCTGTCCCTGCTCCCAACTCTGGAACTATGGCCATGGCCTCCGTTTTCTATTGTCTCAGAAAGGCTGCCGCTGACTACCTAAATAGCTCCTCCGGTCATGAGTTATACCACTACCTGACACTGTTTACAGATAACATCTGTGGTAACATCTCTCTCTTCACCACAGCGTACAGCTCCTAGAGCGGAGACCGTGTCGGCACTTAAAACAGCACCTGGCACTGCAGACCGAGCTGGCGCAGGCCATGCTGCTCATGCTGTTTGACAAGGTCCAGGCACGAGGAGGAATCCTGAAAACAGGAAACCTGATAGCTGGCTAATTCCCGCACTTATTTTTGCAGTTATGATGTTGGTGATTGGGCTCATATATGGGAAATATTCATCTTTAGTAAATAACATAACCCAAAATATTGATCAAAGCAGGAATTCCGGAAATGAAAGCAGTGTTATGGGACCAACTGTTCCAGGCAGACTGCCACGAATAAGTGAGGCAGAACAGCCCGGGCCTCTCTTAGAACTAGATGCAGTTTGTCCTCCCCTTTGTAACAATTCAAACATGACTAACCGGGATTTCTTTAGAATATTGGCAGAGAAGGAGTTATGGGAACCTAGGCCATGGAAAAACCCATTCCCCCAAGAAACTTATATGGAACAGCAAAGTAATAAAGATTAATAGTCCCCACTGCCCAGGGCCCCCCTTATGTTGCTTATAATATTAGAAGACACCTTTGGTAACCCCCTCATAGAAAGAATTTATGAGCAAAATAAAAGTTATATTGACAAATATCCCACATATAAAAGTTTATGATAAATTTATAAAATATTACTATATTAATAGTAAGGTAGTAAGAGCAGATTTAGCGTTGTTATATAAAGGATAAAGAGGACTGCAAGGCCCTGGTGCCTGTAGATGCAGGAGAAAAGGTGTAAACATTTGAAATTGTGGAATGAATATTATAACAGAATAAGGTGTTTTTATTTATTCATAGGAATGTTAAGGAATGGGTGATAGGAGTACCGTCCCTAGATTTTAGATGTAAGCCTCAACCCACATGTGTAGGATAGGATTTAATTAATAATACAGTTACACTTAATAACCAAAAGACATATAGCTTGCATTTTATATAACCTGCTTAAACTTTATATAGCCTTAGACACATATCTAAAAGGCTATATAATTTTACACACTTAAAGTAAAAATCATAGCCCACATGCTTAACTCACATGCTGTCTTACGCCATTTTCTGTTTAGCACCTAGCACGTAGCTTACATGAATTACTAATCACAATAGACTAGGGGAAAGTTAAAAATTAAATGTTAAATGGCTACTATTAGAAGAAATAATACATTTACTTAAGGGTAATAAGCTGAAATTATGTAAACTGACAGAAAAAGGAATGTATTATTCATAATTTTAAAAAATGTTCAACATTATGAAAACCATAAAAAGATACAAAAATAAAGACCCTGCCGCTTGATGTCAGGAGATGTAACAACTTTAATTGGGTGTTTCGTCTCCTCATTCATCTCACTTGCTGACGCTGTCCTTTCCTTTGTGACCCATACCTCAGCTGGATCTGGACTCCGACACCGAGCCCATTCCAAATCTGATGTGCAAACACAGATGTGTTCTGAGGCATGTTGGCCACGTGGAAGGCAAAGGTTGTGCTCTGGCCAGATGCACCCAGGGAGTTCTTACTCAAGTCACCCCAGAAAGGGGCCATGCCACCAGTGCTCCCATTCTGTCCTCCCCAAAGCTGAATGCCCCAGTGGTGGAGCTGCTGTGGGGTGCACCCATGCTCATCCCAAAGCCCCAACTGTGAGCAGGGCCTGCTGACACCCCAGACGTGAAGGGTGATGAGGTGCTGCTGCCAAACACTGAGCTACTGGTCCCACTGCTGGTGGTCTGGGTCGTAGCTCCAAAGCCCGAGGTGGTGGCTGCAAAAAAGTAGGAAACAATATCATCTTACTCCAGTAAGAATTGCTACCATCCAAAAGACAAACAACAACAAATGTTGGCAAGTTTTCAGACAAAGGGGAACCCTCCTACATTGCTGGTGGGAATGTAAATTAGATCAACCATTCTGGAAAGCAGTATGGAGATTCCTCAATAAACTCAAAATAGAAATACAATTTGACCCAGGAATTCCACTTCTAGAAATTTACCCTAAGAATATAGCAGCCCAGTTTCAAAGAGATAGAAGCACCCCTGTTTATGGCAGTACTATTTACAATAGCCAAGAAATGGAAGCAACCTAAGGGTCCATCAGTAGACGAATGAATAAAGATGTGGTATATATGCACAATGGAATATTATTCACCCAAAAGAAGAAAACAAATCCTACCATTTGCAACAACATGGATGGAGCTAGAGGGTACTATCCTCAGTGAAATAAGCCAGGTGGAGAAAGAGAAGTACGAAATGATTCCATTCATATGTGGAGTATAAGAACAAAGAAAAACTGAAGGAAGAAAAGAGCAGCAGAATTACAGAACCCAAAAATGAACTAACAGTTACCAAAGGGAAAGGGACTGAGGAGGATGGGTGGGAAGGGAGGGATAAGGGTTGGGAAAAAGAAAGGAGGCCTTATGATTAGCATGTATAATGTGGGGGTGGGGAGGTCTGAGCAACACAGAGAGGACAAGTAGTGATTCTACAGTACCTTACTACACTGATGCACAGTGACTGTAATGGGGTATTGGGGGGCATTTGGTGAAGGGGGAAGCCTAGTAAACATAATGTTCTGCATGTAATTGTAGACTGATAGCAACAAAAAAAAAATACATTTTAAAAGGCCATGAATGATTTTCCTTTCTGCCTGTCTCTTAATGTCAGTTTATCCCACTTTCCTTTTTAAACCTCTAGACACACCTGGCTCTTCTCTGCTCATGAAAACATGAGCTCATCTCTGCCTTCAGGGCTTTACTCCTGTGCCTGCAACACGCACACAGCCGCTGTCCCTGCTTCCAACTCTGGAACTGTGGCCATGGCCTCAGTTTCCTATTGTGTCAGAAAGGCTGCCGCTGACTACCTAAGTAGCTCCTCCAGTCATGAGTTACACTGCTACCTGATGCTGTTCACAGATAACATCTATGATAATATCTGTCTCTTCACCACAGCATACAGCTCCGAGAGCGGAGATTGGGTCGGCACTTAAAACAACACCTGGCACTGGAGACTGAGCCGATTCCAAATCTCACCTGCAAACACAGATGTGTTCTGAGGTGTGCTGGCCACGTGGCAGACAGAGGGTGGGCTCTGGCCAGCAGCACCCAGGGAGTTCTAAATCAAGCCTCCTTCGAAAGGGGCTGTACCACCAGTTTTCCCACTCCACCTTGCCACAAAGTGGAACGTCCTGGTTATCTCTGCCTTTGGGCCTTTGCTCCTGTGCCTACAAGGTTCTCACCCCAGCGGCTGCCCCTGCTCCCAAATCTGGAACTGCGGCCATGGCCTCAGTTTTCTACTGTCTCTAAAAGGCTGCCGCTGTCTACCTAAATAGCACTTCCAGTCTTGACTTACACTGTTACTTGGTGCTGTTTATGGATAACTTCTGTTATAACATCTAAATCTTCAACACAGGGTCTAGCTCCAAAAGCAGAGACTGTGTCAGCACTTAAAAGAGCGACTGGCACAGCAGACCGAGCCCATTCCAAATCTCACCTGCAATCCCAGATGTGTCCTGAGGTGTGCTGGCCACGTGGATATGAGAGGGTGTGCTTTGGCCAGCTGTACCCAGGGAGTTCGTATTCAAGGCTTCCCAGAAAGGGTTCTTGAGACCAGTTCTCCCACTCCATCCTGACACAAATATGAATGACCCAGTGGTGGAGATCCTGTGGGGGGCCGCCATGCTGATCACAAAACCCCCATTGCCAGCGGGTCCTACTGACACCCTGGACGTGATGGGTGATAAGGTAGTATCACCAAACACTGAGCTACTGGTCCCGCTGCTGGTGGTCAGGCTCATAGCTGCAAAGGCTGAGGTGATGGCTGCAAAAAGGGAGGAGACATGGATCATTATCTAACCCAATACACAAAAGTAAATTCGAAATGGATCCACCACCAGAATGTAAACCATGAAACCAGAAAACTCTTAGACAAAGACAGGCAAAAATCTGTTGGACATAAACATGAGCGACTTCTTCATGAACGTATCTCCTCAGGCAAGGGAAACAAAAGCAAAAATGAACAAATGGGACTATGACAAGTTTAAAAGATTCTGTAAAGTAAGGAACACCATCAACAGAACAAAAGGACATCCTACAGTGTAGAATATATTCATAAATGACAGATCTGATTAAGGATCGACATCCAAAATATATCATGAGCTCACACAGCTCAATAAACAAAAAGCAAATATTCCAATTAAAAAATGGGCATGGGAGCTAAAAAGACAGTTCTCCAAAGAAGAAATTCAGATGGCCAATAGACACATAAAATCATACATCATATCGCTTGTAATCAGAGAAATGCCAATTAAGACCACAATAAGATATCACCTCACACCAGGAAGGATCACCACCATACAAAACACAAACAAGAAATGTTGGCGAGGTTGTGGAGAAAGGGAACCCTGCTACTGTTGGTGGGAATGTAAATTTGTTCAACCATTGTGAAAAGCAATATGGAGGTTCCTCAAAAAGCTCAAAAAAGAAATACCATTTGACCCAGGAATTCCACACCAAGGAATTTACCCTAAGAATACAGCTGCCCAGTTCAAAAAAAGACAGAAGCACCCCTATATTTATTGCAGCACTATTCAAAACAGCCAAGAAATGGAAACAAACTAAGTGTCCATCAGTAGACGAATGGATAAAAAATATTTGATACATATGCACAATGGAATATAATTCAGCTATAAGAAGAAAACAAATCCTACCATTTGCAATAACATGGATGGAGCTCGAGGGACTTATGTTCAGTGAAATAAGTGAGGCAGAGAAAGAGGAGTACCAAATGATTTCACTCATCTCAGGAGTATAAGAGCAAAGGAAAAACTGAAGGAACAAACAGCAGCAGAATCACAGAAAACAAGAATGGACTAACAGTTACCAAAGGGAAAGGGACTGAGGAGTATGGGTGGGAAGGGAGGGATAAGGGCAGGGAAAAAGAAAGGGGGCATTATGATTAGCATGTATAATGTGGTGGGTCTTGGGGAGGGGTAGGCTACACAGAGAAGACAAGCAGTGATTCTACAGCATGTTACTATGCTGATGGACAGTGACTCTAACGGGGTTTCTGTGGGGTACTTGGTGAAGAGGGGAGCCAAATAAGCATAATGTTTTTAAGGTAATTGTACAGAGATACCAAAAAAAAGAAACCATTTTGAATGGCCATAAATGATGTTCCTTTCTGCCTGTCTCTTAATGTCATTTTATCCCACTTTCCTTTATAACCTCTAGCCACACCTGGCTCTTCTCTGTTCATGAAAACTTAAGCTCATCTCCGCCTTCGGGCATTTGCTCCTGTGCCGGTAATGTTCTCACCGCGACCCGCTGTCCATTCTCCCAACTCTGGAAATGCAGCCAGGGCCTCACTTTGTTATTGTCTTAGAAAGGCTGCCAATGTCTACCTAAATAGCTCCTCTGGTTGATGAGTTACACTGCTACATGACGCTGTTTACAGATAACTTCTGTGATAACATCTAAATCTTCACCACAGCATACAGCTCTGAAAGCAGAGACTGTGTCAGCACTTAAGACAGCACCTGGCACTGCACCCCAAGCCCATTCCGAATCTCACCTGCAATCCCAGACGTGTTCTGAGGCATCCTGGCCACGTGGAAGGGAGAGGTTGTGCTCTGGCCAGCTGCACCCAGGGAGTTCGGAGTCAAGGCTCCCCAGAAAGGGATCCTGAGACCAGTTCTCCCACTCCATCCTAACCCAAAGCTGAATGTCCCAGTGGTGGAGTTGCTGTGGGGGGCAGCCATGCTCATCCTTAAGCCCCCACTACCAGCGGGACCTGCTCACACCCTGGACATGAAGGGCACTGACATGGTGCTGCCAAACCCTGTTGTACTGGTCCCGCTGCTGGTGGTCAGGGTCATAGCTGCAAAGGCCGAGGTGATGGCTGCAAAAAAGGAGGAAACATGGATCATTGTCTAACACTATACACAAAAGTAAATTCGAAATGGATCAAACACCAAATGTAAACCATGAAACCATAAAACTCTTAGACAAAAACAGACAAAAATCTCTTGGACATGAACATGAGCGACTTCTTCATGAACGTATCTCTCCAGGCAAGGGAAACAAAAGCGAAAATGAACAAATGGTACTATATCAAGCTTAAAAGCTTCTGTACAGTAAAGAACACCAAGAACATAAGAAAAGGACATTCTACAGTATGGGAGAATATATTCATAAATAACAGATCAGATAAAGAGTTGACATCCAAAATATATAATGAGCTAGCACAGCTCAACAAACAAAAAGCTAAGAATCCAATTAAAAAATGGGCAGGGGAGCTGAACACACAGTTCTCCAAAGAAGAAAATCCGATGGCCAATAGACAAATGAAGAGATGCGCCACATCGCTTGTCATCAGACAAATGCAAATTAAAACCACAATGAGATATCACCTCACACCAGGAAGGATCGCCGCCATCCAAAAGACAAACAACAACAAATGTTGGCGAGGTTGTGATGAAAGGGGAACCTTACCACACTGTTGGTGGGAACATGAATTCATTCAACCATTGTGAAAAGCATAATGGAGGTTCCTCAAAAAGCTCAAAATAGAAATACCATTTGAACAAGGAATTCCACTCCTAGGAATTTACTCTAAGAATACAGCACCCAGTTTGAAAAAGACAGATGCACCCCTATGTTTATGGCAGCACTATTTACAACAGCCAAGAAATTGAAACAACATAAATGTCCATCAGTAGATGAATGGATAAAAAAGATGTGATACATATGCACACTGGAATATTATTCAGCCATAATAAGAAAACAAGTCCTACCATTTGCAACAACATGGATGGAACTACAGGGTAGTATGCTCAGTGAAATAAGCCAGGTGGAGAAATACAAGTACCAAATGATTTCACTCATCTCTGGAGTATAAGAACAAAGGAAAAACTGAAGGAACAAAACAGCAGCAGAATCACAGAATCCAAGAATGGACTAACAGTTACAAAGGGAAAGGGACTGTGGAGGATGGATGGGAATGAAGGGATAAGGGCAGGGAAAAAGAAAGGGGGCATTACGCTTAGCATGTATAATGTGGGGGGCACAGGGAGGGCTAAGCTACACACAGAAGACAAGTAGTGATTCTACAGCATGTTACTATGCTCATGGACAGTGACTCTAATGGGGTTTGTGCGGGGTACGTGGTGAAGAGGGGAGCCAAATATACATAATGTTCTTAAAGTAATTGTAGATAGACACAAAAGAAAAAAAAAAAATTTTAAAAGGCCGTGAATGTTCTTCCTCTCTGCCTGTCTCTTAATGTTATTTTATCTCACTTTCCTTTTTAAACCTGTAGCCACACCTGGCTCTTATCTGCTCATGGAAACATAAGCTTATCTCTGCCTTTGGGCCATTTGCTCCTGTGCCTACAAGGTTCTCACCCCAGCTGCTGTCCCTACTCCCAACACTGGATCAGCGGCCATGGCCTCAGTTTTCTACTGTCTCTAAAAGGCTGCCGCTGTCTACCTAAATAGCACTTCCAGTCTTGAGTTACACTGCTACCTGGTGCTGTTTATGGATAACTTCTGTTATAACATCTAAATCTTCAACACAGGGTCCAGCTCCAAAAGCAGAGACTGTGTCAGCACTTAAAAGAGTGATTGGCACAGCAGACCAAGCCCATTCCAAATCTCACCTGCAATCCCAGACGTGTCCTGAGGTGTGCTGGCCACATGGATGGGAGAGGGTGTGCTCTGGCCAGCTGCACCCAGGGAGTTCTGATTCAAGGCTTCCCAGAAAGGGTTCTTGAGACCAGTTCTCCCACTCCGTCCTGACCCAAATCCAAATGACCCGGTGGTGGAGCTGCTGTCAGAGGCAGCCATGCTGATCACAAATCCCCCACTGCCAGCGGGACCTGCTGACACCTTGGACGTGATGGGTGATAAAGTAGTGCTGCCGACCACTGACCTACTGGTCCCGCTGCTGGTGGTCAGGCTCATAGCTGCAAAGGCCGAGGTGATGGCTGCAAAAAGGGAGGAGACATAGATCATTATCTAACCCAATACACAAAAGTTAATTCAAAATGGAACAAAGACCTGAATGTAAGCCATGAAACCAGAAAACTCTTAGACAAAGACAGGCAAAAATCTCTTGGACATAAACATGAGCAACTTCTTCATGAATGTATCTCCCCAGGCAAGGGAAACAAAACCAAAAATGAACAAATGGGACTATATCAAGCTTAAAATCTTCTGTAAGGTAAAGAACACCATCAACAGAACAAAAGGACATCCTACAGTATGGGAAAATATATTCATAAATGACAGATCTGATTAAGGGTTGACATCCAAAATATATAATGAGCTAACACAGCTCAACAAACAAAAAGCAAATAATCCAATTAAAAAATGGGCATGGGAGTAAAAGAGACAGTTCTCCAAAGAAGAAATTCAGATGGCCAATAGCCACATAAAGTCATGTGTCATATCGCTTGTCATCAGAAAAAAGCCAATTAAGACCACAATGAGATATCAGCTCACACCAGGAAGAATCACCGCCATACAAAACAAAAACAACAACAAACGGCGAGGTTGCAGAGAAAGGGAAACCCTCCTACCCTGTCGGTGGGAATGTAAATTCATTCAACCATTGTGAAAAGCAATATGGAGGTTCCTCAAAAAGATCAAAATAGAAATACCATTTGACCCAGTAATTCCACACCAAGGAATTTACCCTAAGAATACAGATGCCCAGTTTGAAAAAAGACAGATGCACCCCTATATTTATCGCAGCACTATTCAAAACAGCCAAGAAATGGAAACAAACTAAGTGTCCATCAGTAGATGAATGGATAAAAAAGATTTGATACATATGCACAATGGAATATAATTCAGCTATAAGAAGAGAACAAATCCTACCATTTGCAACAACATGGATGGAGCTAGAGGGTATTATGTTCAGTGAAATAAGTGAGGGGGAGAAAGACAAGTACCAAATGATTTCACTCATCTCGGGAGTATAAGGGCAAAGGAAAAACTGAAGGAACAAAACAGCAGCAGAATCACAGAACCCAAGAATGGACTAACAGTTACCAAAGGGACAGGGACCAAGGAGGATGGGTGGGAAGGGAGGGATTAGGGCATGGAAAAAGAAAGGGGGCATTATGATTAGCATGCATAATATGGGGGGGGACAGGGAGGGCTAGGCTACACACAGAAGACAAGTAATGATTCTACAGCATGTTACTATACTGATGGACAGTGACTCTAATGGGGACGGTGCAGGGTACATGGCAAAGGGCAGGGCCAAAGAAAAATTATGTTCTTAAGGTAATTGTAGATTGATACCAAAAAACAAAAAAAGCCATTTTAAAAAGCCATGAATGATCTTCTTTTCTGCCTGCCTCTTAATGTCATTTTAAACCATCTACCTATTTAAACCTCTACCCACACTGGCTCTTCTCCGCCTATAACCTTGTCTCTGCCTTTGTGCCTTTGTTCCACTGCCTGCAAAATCCTCAACTCCAGATGAGGTCCCTGCTCCAAACTATGAAGTTGCAGTCATTGCCTCAGTTTCCTATTGTCTCAGAAAGGCTGCCGCTGACTACCTAAATAGATCCTCTGGTGATGAGATACACAGGTACCTGATGCTCTTTACAGAAAACTTCTGTGATAACATCTAAATCTTCACAACAGCATACAGCTCCGAAAGCAGAGACACTGTCAGCACGTAAAACAGAACCTGGCACTGCAGACCGAGCCCGTTCCAAATCTCACCTGTAATCCTGTAATCCCAGACGGGCTCTGGGGTGTGCTGGCCATGTGGAAGAGAGTGGGTGTGGTCTGGCCAGCTGCACCCAGGGAGCTCGGTTTTAAGGCTCCCCAGAAAGGGTTCTTGAGACCAGTTCTCCCACTCTGTGCTGACGCAAAGCCAAATGCGCCAGTGGTGGAACTGCTGTGGGGGGCAGGCACGCGTGTCCCAAAGACCCCACTGCCAGTGGGGCCTGCTGACACCATAGATGTGAAGGGCGCTGAGATGGTGCTGCCAAACCCGGATGTACTGGTCCCACAGCTGGTGGCCTGGGTCACAGCTCCAAAGCCGGAGGTGATGGCTGCAAAAAAGGAGCAAACATGAATCATTGTCTAACCCCAGACCCAAAAGTAAATTCAAAATTGATTGAACCCCTGAAAGTAAGCCAAAAAACCATAAAACTCTTAGAGAAAGACAGGCGAAAATATCTTGGACGTAAACATGAGCGACTTCTTCGTCAACATATCTCTCCAGGGAAAGAAAGGAAAAATGAACAAATGGGACTATGTCAAGCTTAAAAGCTTCTGTACACTTAAGGGCACCATCAACAGAAAAAAAGGGCATCCTACAGTATGGGAGAATATATTCATAAATGACAGATCCAATAAAGGGTTGACATCCAAAATATATAAAGAGCTAACACACCTCAACTAACAAAATTCAAGTATTCCAATGAAAATGTGGGCAGGGGAGCTGAATAGGTAGTTCTCCAAAGAAGAAATTCAGGTGGCCAATAGACACATGAAAAGATGTACAACATCACTTGTCATCAGAGAAATGCAAATTAAAACCACAATGAGATATCACCTCACACGACTAAGGATCGCAACCATCCAAAAGACAAACCACAACAAATGTTGGCAAGGTTGTGTAGAGAGGGGAACCCTCCTACACTGTTGGGGGGAATGTAAATTCATTCAAACATTGTGGAAAGCAATATGGAGGTTCCTCAAAAAGTTCAAAATAGAAATACCATTTAACCCAGGAATACCGCTCCTGGGAACTTACCCTAAGAATACAGCAGCCCATTTTGAAAAAGACAGATGTACCCCTATGTTTATCAGAGCACTATCTACAAGAGCCAATAAATGGAAACAACCTATGTGTCCATCAGTAGATGAATGTATGCACAATGGAATATAATTCAGCCTTTAGAAGAAAACGAATCCTACCATTTGCAACAACATGGTTGGAGATAGAGGGGATTATGCTCAGTGAAATAAGCGAGGCAGAGAAAGACAAGTACCAAATGATTTCACTTATCTCAGAAGTATAAGAGCAAAGGAAAAACTAAAGAAACAAAGCAGCAGCAGAATCACAGAACCCAAGGATGGACTAACAGTTAACAAAGAAAAAGGACTGAGGAGGATGGGTGGGAAGGGAGGGATTAGGGCACGGAAAAAGAAAGGGGGCATTATGATTAGCATGTATAATGTGGGGGGGCACAGGGAGGGCTAGGCTACACACAGAAGACAAGTAGTGATTTTACAGCATGGTTCTATGCTCATGGACAGTGACTCTAATGGGGTTTGTGCGGGGTACTTGGTGAAGAGGGGAGCCAAATAAACATAATGTTCTTAAGGTAATTGTAGATAGATACCAAAGAAAAAAAAACATTTTAAAAGGCCGTGAATGTTCTTCCTCTCTGCCTGTCTCTCAATGTCGGTTTATCCCACCTTCCTTTATACCCTCTAGCCACACCTGGCTCTTCTCTGCTCACAAAAACATAAGCTCATCTCTGCCTTTGGGCCTTTGCCCCTGTGCCTGTAACGTCCTCACCCACAGCCACTGTCCCTGCTTCCAAATCTGGAACTGCGGCCATGGCCTCAGTTTGCTTTTGTCTCAGAAAGCCTGCCGCTGTCTACCTAAATAGCTCCTCCGGTTATGAGTTACACTGCTACCTGAAGCTGTTACAGATAACTTTTGTGATAACATCTAAATCTTCACCACAGCATATGGTGCTGAAAGCGGAGACTGTGTCAGCACGTAAGACAGCAGCTTGGTACTGCAGACCGAGCCATTCCAAATCTCGCCTGCAAACCCAGGAGTGTTCTGAGGTGTGCTGGCCACATGGAAAGCAGATGGTGTGCTCTGGCCAGCTGCACCCAGGGAGCTCGGTTTTAAGGCTCCCCAGAAAGGGTTCTTGAGACCAGTTCTCCCACTCTGTGCTGACCCAAAACCAAGTGCCCCAGTGGTAGAGCTGCTGTAGGGGGCAGGCACGCATGTCCCAAAGCCCCCACTGCCAGTGGGGCCTGCTGACACCATAGATGTGAAGGGCACTGAGATGGTGCTGCCAAACCCGGATGTACTGGTCCCACAGCTGGTGGCCTGGGTCACAGCTCCAAAGCTGGAGGTGATGGCTGCAAAAAAGGAGCAAACATGGATCATTGTCTAACCCCATACACAAAAGTAAATTCAAAATTGATCGAACCCCCGAAAGTAAGCCAAGAAACCATAAAACTCTTAGAGAAAGACAGGCGAAAATATCTTGGACATAAACATGAGCGACTTCTTCGTCAACATATCTCTCCAGGGAAAGAAAGGAAAGAGGAACAAATGGGACTACGTCAGGCTTAAAAGCTTCTGTACACTTAAGGGCACCATCAACAGAACAAAAGGGTATCCTACAGTATGGGAGAATATATTCATAAATGACAGATCCAATAAAGGGTTGACATCCAAAATATATAAAGAGCTAACACACCTCAACTAACAAAATTCAAGTATTCCAATGAAAATGTGGGCAGGGGAGCTGAATAGGTAGTTCTCCAAAGAAGAAATTCAGGTGGCCAATAGACACATGAAAAGATGTACCACATCACTTGTCATCAGAGAAATGAAAAGTAAAACCACAATGATATCACCTCACACCAGTAAGGATCGCCACCATCCAAAAGACAAACTACAACAAATGTTGGCAAGGTTGTGGACAGAGGGGAACCCTCCTACACTGTTGGTGGGAATGTATATTCATTCAACCATTGTGGAAAGCAATATGGAGGTTCCTCAAAAAGTTCAAAATAGAAATACCATTTGACCCAGGAATACTGCTCCTAGGAATTTACCCTAAGTATACAGCAGCCCATTTTGAAAAAGACAGATGCACCCCTATGTGCATATATCTCATCACTATTTACGATAGCCAGGAAATAGAAGCAACCTAAATGGCCATCAGTAGATGAATGTATAAAGAAGATGTGGTACATATACACAAGGGAATACTATTCAGCCAAGAGAAGAAAACAAATCCTAACGTTTGGAACAACAGGGATGGAGCTGGAGGATATTATGCTCAGGAAATAAGCCGGATAGAGAAAGACAAGCACCAAATGATTTCACTCATCTCTGGAGTATAGGAACAAAGAAAAACTGAAGGAACAAAAGAGCAGCGGACACAGAACCCAAGAATGGACTACCTGTTGAAATGGACTAAAGGGAAAGGGACTGAGGAGGATGTGTGAGAAGGGAGGGATAATTGCAGGAAAAAGAAAGGGGGCATTACAAATTGCATATATAATGTGGGTGGGGTAAAGGGAGGGCTGGGCAATACAGAGAAGACAAGGGGTGATTCTACAGCATCTTACTACACTGATGGACAGTGACTATAATAGGGTTCGTGGGGGGGACTTGTTGAAGGGGGAAGCCTAGTAAACATAATGTTCTTCATGTAATTGCAGATTAATACCAAAAAATAAAAAACATTTTAAAAGGCCGTGAATGATCTTCCTTACTGCCTGTCTCTTAACGTCATTTTATCCCACTTTCCTTTTTAAACCTGTAGCCACACCTGGTTCTTCTCTGCTCATGAAACCGTAAGGTCATTTCTGACTTCGGGCCTTTGCTCCTGTGCCTTGAACGCCCTCACCCACAGCTGCTGTCCCTGCTCCCAACTCTGGAACTACAGCCATGGCCTCAGTTTCCTATTGTCTCAGAAAGGCTCCCACTGACTACCTAAATAGCTCCTCCAGTCATGAGTTACACTGCTACCTGATGCTGTTTACAGAAAACATCTCTCTCTTCACCACAGTATAGAGCTCCAAGAGTGTAGACTATGTTGGCACTTAAAACAGCACCTGGCTCTGCAGACTGAGCCCCTTCCAAATCTCACCTGCAAGCACAGACGTGTTCTGAGGTGTGCTGGCCACGTAGATGCCAAACAGTGTGCTCTGGCCAGCTGCACCAAGGGAGTTCTGACTCAGGCATCCCCAGAAATGGGCCGTGCCACCAGTTCTCCCACTCTGTCCTGCCACAAAGTCGAATGCCCCAGTGGTGGAGCTGCTGTGGGGGGCTGACATGCTCATCCCAAAGTCCCCACTGCCAGTGGGGCCCGCTGACACCCCGGATGTGAAGTGTGATGAGGGTGTGCTGCCACCGCTGCTGGTGGTCTGGGTTGTAGCTCCAAAGTCCAAGGTGGTGGCTGCAGAAGAGGAGGAAATGAGGATCATTGTCTAACCCTATACACAAAAGGATATTTGAAATGGATCAAAGACCTGAATGTAAGCCATGAAACATTAAACTCTTAGAAAAAACATAAGCAAAAATCTCTTGGACATAAACATGAGTAACTTCTTCTTGAACATATCTCCCCCAGAAAGGGAAACAAAAGCAAAAATGAACAAATAGGACTATATCAAGCTGAAAAGCTTCTGTACAGGGAAAGCCACCATCAATAGAACAAAAAAGCATCCTATAGTATGGGAGAATATATTCATAAATGACAGAACTAATAAAGGGTTGACATCCAAAATATATAAAGAGGTAACACAGCTCAACAAACAAAATGCAAATAATCCAATTAAAAAAATGGGCAGAGGAGCTGAACAGACAGTTCTCCAAAGAAGAAATTCAGATGGCCAACAGACACATGAAAAGATGCTCCACATTGCTAGTCATCAGAGAAATGCAAATTAAAACCACAATGTGATATCACCTCACACCAGTGAGAATTGCCACCATCGAAAAGACAAACAACAAATGCTGGCGAGGGTTCGGAGAAAGGGGAACCCTCCTCCCCCGCTGTTGGGAATGTAATTTAGTTCAATCACTGTGGAAAGCAGTATGGAGGTTCCTCAAAAAATTCAAAATAGAAATACCATTTGACCCAGGAATACCACCTCTAGGAATTTACCCTAAGAATGCAGCAGCCCAATTTTAAAAAGACAGATGCACCCCTATGTTTATCGCAGCACTATTTACAATAGCCAAGAAATGGAAGGAACCTAAGTGTCCATCAGTAGATGAATGGACAAAGAAGATGTGATACATATACACAAAGGAATATTAATCAGCTATAAGAAGAAAACAAATCCTACCATTTGCAAGAACATGGATAGAGCTAGAGGGTATTATGGTCAGTGAAATAAGCCAGGTGGAGAAAGACAAGCACCAAATGATTTCACTCATCTCTAGAGTATAAGAACAAAGTAAAAACAGAAGGAACAAAACAGCAGCAGAATCAGAGAACCCAAGAAAGGACAACAGTTACCAAATAGAAAGGGACTGGGGAAGATAGGTGGAAAGGGAGGGAGAAGGGGGTGGAAGAAGAAAGGGGGCCTTATGATTAACATGTATAATGTGGGGGGGGCATGGGGAGTGCTGTGCAACACATAGTAGACAAGTAGTGATTNCCAGGAAAACCTGACCACACAGTGCTGCCAAAGGCTGGCTGGGGTGGGGCCGGGGCTGCTGAGCTTCCAAAAGGAAAGGAGCTGCCGAAGCTGGGGGCCAGTGCTGGCTGGCAGTCCACATCTGCTGTCTGTCAGTGGCTCCGAACGAGTGCTGTGGCATGACTCCAGGATAGGATGGGACGGGGGGCCTGGTGCCAGAACTAAAGGGAATGTTGAAGGCTGGGGTAGTAGTGCTGCTAAATGTCAGTGCAGGCTGGCTCGGGGCAATGGGGATGGAGGTCGTGAGGGTGCCACTGAAGCCACCGAAACTGGCTGTGCTGCTGCCAGCAGCTGTTTGGATGGTGCTGGGCAGGGACTGGCTGAAGGTGACGGCTGTTGTTGGAGCAGGCGTGGCCAGAGCCTGCCAAACTGAAGTATGGAGCCCATGGCTGGGCAGAACTGGCAGCAGACGCAAGGGGGAACCCAAAGAGGACAGGCTGGGGAGTGGAAGCAGTGGGGCTGGTCATGTTGCTCACAGTGCTGGTCACACTGCTCACACCAGAGCCAAAGACAGGCTTCCGGGCGGAGTCTGCGGCTGTGCCGGTGGTGATCCCCCAAGCCACTGCTGAGGGGACGCTGACACTGGCTGGGCCAGGGATCAGAGGGGCATTCGTGCTAGTGCCTGAAGTAGTTGTCTGACTGAAGGAGGAAGGAGTTGACAAGGGCAAAGATGTAGGTAGCCCTGTGCTGCTAAAAACAGGACTGAAAGTGAGGGGCAGTCTGCTGGTAGTCGGGGTGTGGGCAGAGCTGGAAGATGCCTCTGTTGCGACTTGGGAATGGCTGGATGGCACAGGATCCTCCTTCCCACTTTTAGATGGAGCCACAAAGATGGGCTTGAACATGGGATGTGCTGAAGACACAGCAGGAGCTGCTGAGGCAGAAGGGTTAGCAGGTGGTCTGCTCAGCGTTCCAAAGAGAACACTGGGCTTCAGGGTGGGGCCTAGGGCAGGTGGGGCCTGGGGTTTGGCAGATGTCTCAGCCTGAGAGGCTGGAGGTGACTTGGTGGTATCACTGGCTGGTATTGCGGGAGAGGCAGGGGTCAGCCCCTAGAAAGGGGTTGTGGATCTCGAGTCTGGGGAAGAGTCAAGAGGGCCCAGAAGGCCAGGTGTCTGCAGGGGCAAACGGGCCATGGGCATGGCTGTTAGGCAGGGAAATACATATGAGTGGGGTGGAAAGAGTACAGGGTCAGCAAAACCCCCTAGAAAGGACTCGGTTAACCAGTTAAATCCAGAAGTCCAGAAAAGATTCAGAGTTAGTGAGTTAATCAGTTAAAGCTCAAAAGGTCAAGAGAACTTGGCCTTGAGGTTTGAATATTCCCCAGATAAAAGTATCTGAGCACAGCCCATGTCTTCATTGTGTCCATTAGACCACTGTATGATTTACTCTAGCCTGCTAAAAGGCCCACCTATAAACAGCAAAGTAAAGACAGGGAGATCCCACCTTAAAGCCAAAATTGTATTTAAAAAAACACTAGGAAGTTTCAGAAGAAAGATTCTTAACATACTCTTTAGCAAACAAATAACTCTGCCCACCTTGGAGGAAAGGCAGACAGTCTTA